ATTTCATACAAATTTTATTACGCGATAATTTACATATGAGTAAGAAAAATTTACATAAAAGTTAATTTATATAAAAATAAATATTTTTATTTTACACATTTATGTGATTAAATAATAAATATAGCAAAAGAAGAAATTAAATGTAAAAAATTATAACTATTTGAAAACAAAAAATAATTGAAAAAAGGACAAGAGTTTAAGTTGGGAAAACTATACAATAAATATAATTAATTAGTGATTGCGTATCTTATATTAATATATTAATAATTTAAATATTATTTGTTTCTTCCATAGACCAGAAAAAACTTGCATTAATATCAAAAACATATCCACGATGGTTTCAAGATTTTTCTTTAGATCAAGTATGATATAAAAATAAATAATCCCAAGTAGATTTTATTTAAAAATTAAAATTTTATTAAAATGTAAGAATATATATAAGTTTAAAAATTAATGAAATTATTTTTATGAAATAAAATATTGCCTTTAGATCTTCTATTTCTTCTAATTCTATTTGAAAAATTGTTATTAAAATAAGAATGTGTATGCATGTTGTTTTATATCTGTTTTAAATTAAGTTCTGTAAATTCATAGATGAAAAATTTAATGAAACTGCAAAATGTAATGCGGATTGATTACGAAGAGACAAAAACAAGTGGCACACAAATGATATTGATAGCTATTGGCGTTATTTCAACATTTTTCAAATTAGCCCCAAATACTATAAAAGAGTTGCATAAATCAAGTAACTTAAATAGCGTCGATTTTCTTCGAGAAATTTACAAAATTTTAACAGGAAATGATTTCTACCAAGAAGGATATAGTATCTATCTCTTTATGTTTTTATTCATAGAATCTAGATAATTAATTTTAATAATATCTTTAGCAATTATTTTTAACAATATCTTTTTTAATAGAATTATATATTATTATATATAATAATTATAAAAATTATATTATATATAATATATTATATATAATAATTATAAAATTATTTAATTTGCAGAAAAGGTTTACAGTTGTAATGAGAGAATAATATTGTCAGCCATTGCATTTTTAACATTACCAGAAACGGTGAAGGAATTACATAAAAGATTACCGCCAGTAATCATGCCAAAATTACCACCAAAACGTAATTTTATATTTTTTTTGAGAATGTCATTAAAAAATACAGTCAATTAATTTACACAATTAATTACACAATTATTTTTCATATTTTAGCAAAACCACCAATATGTCTGCCACGGCAGAAAGATAGCTGTCCTTATAAGGAAGAATTATTTAAACGTCCTGATTGGGCTGGTTACCGAAATGCTTTACAAAAATGGCGGAAGCAACGTAAATTAATTGCAATTCCAAAAGTAACCTTATCATTAAACAACAAATATAAGATTTTTATCAATAATGGATCTGAGATTAAAGAGCGAGAAAAAGATATTTGTGCTGAATATCTTAAAAAAACTAGCACAAAGGAATTGCAGGAGATTTCTTTAACTACACGTGAACAGAACAGTAAAAATAGCAAAATTAAATACAGAATATATACTAAATTTTTAATTAAATAACTAGCTGATTATTTTGGCACAATAAATAAATATAGATTTATTGAAATATCGATTCACAAATAGGTGTAATTGATGAACAAAGAGACTTCAAAGATAAAGATTTTTCAAGAGAGAAAAATGTAGAAACGGAAAGATTAGCAATTTTTGACATTTTTCAATCAGAGGGCAAAAAATCCGATTATAAAAGTCTAGAAATTTACATAACAGAAGATATAACATCTAGTATGAAAAATGTTACAAAAATCATATACTAAATTTACAATTATAATTTTCTTTTAAATGTTTTCTTTAAAAACTTTAGATCCGCCAAAACTGCTAGAAACAAAGCAAAAACTCTGGCTTGACGAAAAAAATATTCATGATGTGACTGCTGGCACGTTTAAAGATTCACAAGATTGTCCTGTAACCGAGATCACAAACGATATAATAAGTAATGAAAAGTTCTTCTCAGTGCTGAAACTCGATGATCAGTCCAGAAAAGTTTTTCCCAGTGGTAGAGAAAATCTATCCAGAAATTGGCAGGAGTGGTTGCAAAATGTTGATGAAGATTATAGACAGTTGGAAGAAGAAACTGATGAGCTGATTAGAAATGTGCAGGCAATTATGAAATTGGTATTTCCCGTTTGTGACAGTTGTTGCTTGTGTCGACAAACCAGAAAGTTTTATGAAAACTTGCAACAAAGCGAAATTGATAAGATACCAATCAGTATGCAGAATGGAGAGAAAAATATGTGAGTAATATTTAATCGAGTTAAAATTACATAACTCTAGCATTAGATTAAATAATTAAATGAATTAAATGGATTTAAATTATTTAATCTGTAATGCTTTCTGTATGTATAATTTAATTTTTTATTAAATAGATTACTATTGTAAAGAATTAATTTTACAATCCCTGTTAGGAATATTTACATTATTAAATTAAGTTCTGAAATTTTTGAAATTTATGAAATTTATTTATTTTCTCTTAATTTTTAACATTTATTATTTTTTAATTATTTATATATTTCTTATATAATTCTTTTATTAAAATTTTCAAAATTAGGAACTACTAGAAATTAAAGTTCCGAAAACAATTATGTAACAAAGTAATATGATTATTATTTATGATAGGCACATTATAGATTCAAAGGAAGTACAATCTTCAGAAGGGAATGTGACAAAATCATCGATTAATCAGGTTACTTTGAAAGATGAAGCCAAGACAAACATTGATAATGTCAAAGAGACTGAGCAATCTCAATATATATCCGATACTCAAAAGGATAAAATACATGTACTATCGGAAATACCTGAGTCTCCTCAATTTATCAAGAACATTCCACCTTGTTCATGTGCTATTCGACAAATGACTGACAAGGACATAAGTCCGTCAATGAGCAAAGATGATTTTTCTTGGATAAAAGAAGAAGGATTATGTCCTGGAAAGAAGTACAGACCAGATGAATTAGGTGCATATTCTTGCAAGACGTATCCTGATGACAAATGCTGCAAGTATAATCCTTTCTTAAAGGAAATAATGAACATCTCACAAATAGCGCCCTCGGCAAAAATATTAAAAACAGATTATGAAGCAATTCCAAAGACTCCAACATGGTTCACAACTTCTTCGCCATTAAGAATGCAAGAAAAATCAAATAACATTTCTTCTTTAAAAAAACTTAAACAAATTGAAAATAATACTTTAAATAATAAAAAAGCTTCTAAAATGTTAAAGTCATCAAAGACAATCCAAAAAGAAACGAATAAGGAGAAAAAAGAAATAAAAAATATAGAAAAGAAGAATAAAAAAAATACAAAATTAACGAATCCGATTTCCAAATCATCAGCAGAATTCAAAACGGAAAACACGAAACTAACAACAAAACCATCTAAGCAATTTAATAAAACTGACAAGTTATCTAAGCATAAATTTACGAAAAAAAATGAAACAAAAAATGTAGTAAATAAAACTGAGAAGATCGCACGCAAACATAAAATGACAAAGTTAAAAAATATATTCAAATCTACTACAGGAAACCCACATAACATTCAATCAGCGGTTCTCTCAAAAGAATTACTAACAATTAATGATTTTGCAGAAGAAAATACTGAAAAGAAATCTTGTAATTGGAAAATCAGATCGGAGCAGGATCTTCTGGCGAAAAAGACCCTGGCCTATCTCTGCGAACCGGATTATCCTCTGGAAATGATGGCAGTTCGACCTGGAGGACAGCCATGTCAATGTAGGGAGAAAAGAAGAAAGAAAAAGATCCTGATATCCAATACAAATGATCTAATGCACAAAGAAAGAACTAGGAAAACGGAATTGGAGGAGGAAGATGAAATCATCGATGATGTTTCTTACTTCACACCACCTATCAGTCCACGAAGAAGTGATGAATATATTCCAGAGTATGACATTCTTAAATCACCATACGACATGTGTGTTAGCGAAGCTATGGATAAAACGTTGAAGCTGATCGAAAGGTATTCTGGACCGAAAAGCTTGATAGAGAAAATACGAAAGAAACCAAAATCATGCAATTGTACTAACATTATTACGAAAGATAATGGCTTAGTGAATCAGAATAAAAATATTGAAGAGGAACGAAAGAAATTGATGGAACTTAAATCATCGGAAGAAAGATGGAAGATAGCGTTGAAGGATGCAGCATTAATGGATTATTTCACACGGCGCGAAGATAATACTCCTTGCTGGACGTCCTGCAAAAAAATCGCTCGAGTTGCCAGGTTGGTATAAAAATATTAATATTAACTAATAAAATTATAATTATTACAATTATTAACAATTTTATTATATTAATTTTTATTTAGCAGCTTTTAATTTGCAATATTAAGATGTTTTAATTATTGACGGATATAATATTTAATTTTCAATATATTATTCAAACGTAATTATAATATAAAAATAATATTAGCAAGCTATTGATATTATAAAATGTTTTGTGGATATGTTTTATGGAAATGTTATATTATAGGCCCCGCAGATTGAAGATAGTAAAACCTGTATGCGAGTGTAAATACGAGAGAAAAATTGTGGAACATGAAGAAAGAAAACAGAAAGCATGTCAACAAAAATTAGATGATCTGAAAATATCCACGTCGTTCCAAATACCTATGCACAGTAAAGAAGATATTCGACAAACTGTTGCCTTGCATCGACATTGGTCACCAATAAATATTCCACCAGGTCCATTACCAACGAAAGACGTCATCTTAAAAAAAGAAATGGAGGCTAGAAAGAAGGCTAGAGACGAGGCATTTAAATTAATTTATGGAGATAAAAACGAGAAAAATATGTCTTATTTGACGACTCGGGAAACATTAGACGAACAAAAATTGACGAAGAAAATTCAGAAAAAAATAGATACGAAAGAAAGTTACACAAATGTAAAAAATAAAACACCAAAAACGAGATCGAAATTACAGTCATTAAACAAGAAGACTAACAAAATAGGACATCAAACAGATGCAAATAAAGAAAATGTCGATAAAATAATTCGTAAAAAGAAGATATATTCAGACGAAGTTGCTGAGGTTAATCATCAGAAAAATGTATTACACAAACAAGCGATTGAACAGAAGACAGAAAAAAAGATTAATAATGGAAGTCATCGGTTAAAGGGCGGTGGTGATAAGAAATATATAAACAGCAAATTTGATCTTGTAACGATAATGAAGGTATTTTCATAGATCTTCTTAAACTGATAATTTTAAAATATATTGATATCAAGCAATTTATCTAAATTATATATATATATATATATATATATATATATATATATATATATATTATATATATATATATATATATATATATATATATATATATATATATATATATTCAAGTGTTTAAATTAGAGATTTATATGTAAAATTTAAATTACATATAAAACATCAGGCCGAATTAGAGAAAATGGCTGCGGAAGGTTATACATTCGCCAAGTTGCCAGAATGTTATCTAATGCCACAGCTTCAAGATTGGCTTATGTACAGGAAGGGTGTCGCTTTCTCGGAAATCGACAAAAGTATTTTGCTGGCAGAATTAAAATGTCATTTTTCTCATTTTTTTATTATCTCCTTCCATTTTTATCTATCTTTTTCTTTATTGTTTTCCTAGAAAATTTAATGCAAGCAACCGTTGGCATGTGGGCTTTAATAAATAAAAAATTGAAGTTTGACAAGAAACCATCACTACATCTAACAGAGCATCAGCTAAAGAGATTAACTTACTATCATGCCGAGAAGATAAAGGAGAAGGTAAATAATTATCAACATTTTTAATATTTGTGAATTCAATTACAAAACTTATCTTACATATCAAATCTAAAATAATATTCTTTTAATTTCCTAGTCTTTCCCAATTTCCGCTTTCATTTCTCCTTCTATTTTTATTACGGATATCAGTTTGTTAAATCACCTTAAATTTGAGATTAATTATTTATTTTTAATTTAAAATAAAGTTAATTATTTTATGTTTCAAACAGATTAGACAGACGACAGCGATATTTCACAGTAAAATACGTAAAGCGCGTGTTTCTTATGCTCGTATTATGTGGAGTACCATGCAATATGGAAAATTTCCTTCCATGTCGTTCAAAAGAACTTTCTTTACATATATGCCCAGTAAAGAGGCCGATGGACACGTCTACAGACCGTGGTTGCCATCTGAAGTTCATGAACGAGATTTCGAATTTAGCTGTTATTAATAATAATTATTGAGTGTTATTAGAGTAATTTATATAGTTCAATTAAATATGATTAATAACACTTGGAATATCTTAATTATGAATTTAATTAATAAACATTATTATTTATTAGATATATTAAAAACAATTTATTTACTTATATATAAAAGTCGGAGTTAGTCATAACTTTCAAAATTATGTTTACATGATTATTTATGTGTCTTTGTCACATTTAGTCTATGTAATATTTATACAGTCTTTTTTCGCATGTATCTGTAAACAGTGTAAATTATATAAACTATTACAAATTATATTATCGATATACGATATAAAAGAATAATTAAATTATACAACAGTTACTATACAAGTACACACATGTCTAATATAAGTATTAATTATAGATATAATAAATTTAAAAAGAGCAAACAATTGCATAAAATTTTCGTTTTATTATAACATATTATATATATATATATATATATATATAAACTAACTAACGGAAGTAAAAA